CTTCTTCAATTCTTCTTCTTCTTCCACAATTATATTCAAGAAACTCCACGGAGAAAAATATCAAGAAAGTCAAGAATGCAGGGATGACGGAGAAGGGCATGGGCGAAGGTAAAGATGGTGCCTTTCCATCATCTTCTTCTTCTTCTACAAGGGAAGATGAGATGGGAGTACTTGTCGCTTTGGTCAAGGAGTTGGAGGGTCAAATCTTGACCCTCAAGACTAGGACTAATGTCCACTTATCCGACATCTACTTCGGCAAGTTAGCTGTCAATGAAATTCATTGCCGGCTGAGTTCGGAACTTGCTGCTCAAAAACTGAGGCAGCAGCTGGAGGCCGTGATTCAACGAGAATATTTGTTGGTGGACAAGGTTGATAATCTGGTTTTTACTGTCGTGGAGCAGCTAGGTGGTGGTGTGCCGCCATCATCCTCTGGTGGTGATCATCAAGGAGAGAAGAGGAATAGCCAGCTGGTGGCGTCTTTGTCTGACTCCACGAACATGATGAAGGAGATTTTGCTTGATTCCAAAATGGTTTTGCAGCAGGTTGGTTCGGCAGAAGAAGAACCATCTGGGGACAGGGCAAGAATCACGACAGAACTTGCGGAAGTGAGGCTGGCAGAGAAGAAATTGGCTGAAACAGAGGACAAATTGGCTGCTACTCTCAATGAAGTTGCAGAGAATAAACAGGGCCTCGAGGAGATTGCGTCTGAGAAGCAAAAAAATTGAGAGGAAGTTAAGCTGCTTGGAGTAGGGGTGAGCATGGTACGGTATGGGACGGGATTATGCTCGTACCAATACCGTACCATAACTTTCGGTTCGGTATGGGATTTCATATTTTACCGTTACAGATACCAAAATATTGGTACGGTATGGTTCGGGAAAAAATAATGTCAGTACGGGATTTTTTTAAACAAGCAAGATATAATGCACAATTGGTAATAAAAATAGTAGTAGAAATATTTGTCTTAAATAGAAAAACTGTAAATGAAAATAGCAGTAGCAGTAGTACAAAAGATTAAAAGAAAGCATTACACAAGCATAAGTAGCATTACAAAAGCAGTAGTTCAAAAAAGGCAAAAAAAGCACTGTAGAGAGAGAACTAGCCAAAGGAAATGTTCTGTTACATTATTGAGGCTCCACAAAAACATTGTGGTGACAAGTTTCTTCTCTTCTACGGAGTATTTGATAGCATAAATTATGGTTCTCTTTAAACAATCATTTTAAACAAAGACTATTTTTTAAAAAAACAACAAGGATTTGTAAAGGAAAGCCTACTTTTCCCAACAACAAACTACCAATTACAGTAGCAAAAAAAATGGGTGGAAATCATAAATATGGCATAGCCATAATTCTGCCCATTCATGAAAAATAAGCAGTAGCCAATACAAATTTATAAAGAAAAAATGGAGCAGAGGCTATCTAAAATGGAGCCAGTACAAAATTATAAAGAAAAAATGTGGCCAGTACAAACTTTAAATTTCCAAAAAAATACAGATCTTCAAATTTCTAAATTAAAAGAATTTCAGATTTTCACAACAAATTCATAACAATTAGAAAAAATTTTAAATAAAATTTTCAATTTTTCACATGACAAATTCATATAACAAATTGTCAAATTCACAACAAAAGTTCATAACAAATTCATACCACAAATTTATAAAGATTAAAGATTTTTCATATTTACACATAACAAAATATAAAATTCTTAAAGAAATTCTGAAATTAGTATTTTTTTTTACCTCCGTACCTGGACTCTGGCACCTGGAGGCTGGAGAATTTCCGGCGAGGTGGCGTCTGGCGGGCAGCGGCGTCTCTCTCTCGGTGACTGGCGGGCAGCAACAGTTGAGCGTGCAGGCGGGCGACGGCGTCTCTCTCTCCGCAACTTCCTTCTGGCCTCTCTCTTGGCGACTTCCGTTCGTGATACTGCTTGGGTTTGAGAGTTTGGCACTTTTCCACAGTTCCGCTTTCAATCTGTAACGGAAATAGCAAATAGGAGGGCTACTGGGCTAGGGAGTTTTGGGCTTTGGCTGGACTGGACTTCAATATATGTATACATATTCCCCCGTCCTAAAACCTTCTTCTCAGTTTGACTTTTTCTCATTTTTAATTTTTGGCTTTGACTTCAAATTTTACCCTCCTTAAAAAAGATTTTTTGAAATTTTTTTTTGCAATCATTCAAAATATAGAGTTAGAAGATAATTGGTGTAAATAAATGAGGATATTAATGTCATTTGTCATCTTTTTTTTCTAATTGGAAGGTAGTTTTAGGACGGAGAAAAAGGAGAACTAGGAAGAAAATTTTAGGACGGAGAGAGTATAATATTTAAAAAATTAGGCCATACCCATTCCCAAATTGCCAAATTTGGCTGGACCAGTGGACTAGACATTAATATATATACTACCTTCGTCCCATTTTATAATGCATGTTTCGGTTTACGATGTTTGACTGAAATTATTTTGAAATCATTTTATATGACAAATGGTATAGAATTAAAAAATAAAAATTACATATTAAAAAAACTACATCAAAAAATCTATAAAACTAGTGGTGACAGTAATATTTTATTTTATCAAATTGCTAACGAAGTCGAAAATAGAGAAAGAAAATGAGTGAAGTTTGACCCTGTGAATAGTAAAACATGCATTATAATTTGGGACGGAGGGAGAGTGTGTGTGTGTGTGGACGGAGAAATGTATGTATGTATGTATGTATGTATCTATATATCTATATATATATATTTGCTAGTTGCCACAGTAGTTCAGTACGGGAAATTCGGTTCGGGAAAGAGCTCATTCCCATTCCCAAATACCAGCCCAAAAAATCGGTTTGGTACGGTTCAGGATTTTTTCGGAATTTTTCGGTAAGGGTAATCCGGGAATTTCTGGTAACGGTATGGTACATGCTCACCCCTAGCTTGGAGGATGAAAACAAAGCGATTATTGATGTAAGAACAAAGTAATGTAAGATTATCTGTCATTATAGAATTGAACAAGAAGAAGAATTGAAGAACAAAGTGCTTAGATTATCTGTCATTATAGTTCCACTTTATACATGGTGTTTGTTGATGTAAGAAAATGTGGATCTATGGAGTATTCAAGGAGGAGGAGAAAGTGGAACTATAATGACAGATAAGGATATGAGTGAAAATTGAAATAGAAAAGAGGCCAGGGGTAAAGAGGGTAGTTAATTGAGATACATGGGGCGCTGTTTTTTGTCGTTCATCGTTGGGTCAGGTCAAGCCATTGCCGGAATCGGGCACGGAGTGTGGTGGCCAGAACGTCAGAAACTAGAGGATGGTTTCACTGCTGCCGTCGTCGTATGTTGTGCAAGTCGCCCGATAGAGGGAGGCGGGGCTGCTCTCGTCGTCGGAGGTCAACGATTGGTGCTTCTAAACTGGGTCTCCCGCTGCTCTGGTCGGAATTAGGCGGCGGAGTTGCGCCGGAGATGATCGTGGGCTGGCGATTGAGTTGGAAGGCGGCGTTAGATATGATTAGGGCCTTTAGGGGAGACTAACTTCCCGGATATTATGAATTGACCTCATGGATTTTAAACATATTTGCAATTTAGTCCTTTCAATTTTACTTGGGTTATTTTGAAAAAAAGCAATTTGTACAATTTGTACCAAGTATAATGTACAATTTTAAGTAAAACTGATGTACTTACCCTAAAAAAATATTAAGTATAAGTAAAAAAATATTTATTTCTAAAAAACAAAGAAAAATAATACTCCCTCCGTCCCAAAAAGATTTACACGTTTCAAAAAAATTGCGTCCCACAATCTCTTACCTATTTCTATTAAAAAACCACTTTTACCACTTACTTTTTCAAACTTTATCTATCACATCATACCTTTTTTCTAATAATCTACATATCATATCTTACTTTTACACATCACATCAAGGGTATTTTTGGAAAGTCAACACAAAATTATCTCTCTCTTAATTTCAACTTTAGTCAAAATGGGTAACACTTTATGGGACGGAGGAAGTAATAAATACTCCCTCCGTTCTCAGAAACTCTTCCTCTTTCATTTTTTTTACTTCCAACAAAACACTTCCACTTTCTATTAAAAACCACTTTTACCCTTACTTTTTCATACCATACCCATCACATCATACTTTTTCTCTAATATTCAATCCATCACATTTTACATTTACCCATCACATCAAGGGCAAAATTGAAAGTCAACTACAATTTAACACTTCCTTATTTTTACACAAAGTCAAAATAGGAACACTTTTATAGAACGGAGGAAGTATTATTTTTTAGACGAACAAAAAAATTACCTCGTCCGTTGATTATTTATATTTATAATTTTTATCAAACTTGTTTATACCTCAAT